AACACAATTCAATTAAAATAAATTTGTGACCACTCTTTTGTGTGCACGATTACTCAAAATTGAACCGTCCAATTTCTTTCAAATTTAACACAGTCATAGGTCATCATCTTAAGACGTGACAGGAACATTTTCAAGTTCATCAAAATATCGTGACGTCATCCAGGCGCCATTTTGTGAAGTGCTCTGAGAATCAACTCATGATCATATCTTCATAACCGTAAATCATTTCTCATTCATATTTATAACGATTATGGTCAATATCCGTCCGGTCAACTTAAGGTCAATAAACGCGCGCGTACGCGTCCGTCCGCGCGTCGGTTCGCGCAAAAATAAAAAATGCTCATAATCACTTTTAGATCAAATTAGAGTACGTTTTAGGCCATTTCAAGCAGTTCGAGAATTTTGCGTGCGCACACCTTTCCGCGCGCATAAATTTGCGCGCACGTCTTTGTTCGTAATGGTCGAACGCAACCTTAAATCATCATTTTTTGTCTATCATAGTATTTCCCATTTTTTTCCGAACAATTTGATACCATGTTTATCTCTTTATGACCATTAATAAGGAAATGAGCGTCCGTTTAAGGTAAATGTCTGTGCGTGCGAGCTCTTGTAATACATAGCATATATGGTCAAAAACATGCCTATACGAAATACATTGAGTGATTTCAAGTTGGGTGTTAGTGTTAGTGTTAGTGTTTAGAGCAGTCAAGAGCTCTTAAATCGAGCTAAAAATGTGCTGATGAAATTAAGAGCCCGATACCGATATCATTATCGATAGCTTAACACCACCGTAAACACCACTGCACTGCAATTGATTTCACTTGATTTCACGACGATGATTTAAAAATACTCCATAAAAACTAAAGATTTCATGAAAAGCACAGAATAAATTTACACTTATTTCTCTGGGGTTATGAAATAACTTATTTTACACACAATAAATGTATGGATCACATAGTAAATGACATGTTGTTTCACATATTCTATTAATTCGTCAGCCAATAAATTAGCGTCGTACGTGAGTTGACTGTTGTTCGGGTACGTGTGTGTGTAGCTTGGTGGATCGGAGGGGGCGCGGCATCCATAAAATGAAATTTTGAAAGAAAGACTCCAGCCTTTAAACAGAATATATGAAATGATTCATGTCATGATGTGGATTTAGTCTAGGGCTTAGATTAAACTAGTAATGCTCGTTCTGAGAATGTTTTTCATGTAGTGTAGTACCAATAAAAAAATGTTCTTCACTGCTAGCTCATAGAACTAGTATTAGTCTATAACTAGATCTAGAGCTTAGACCTAATTAGCCTAGAATTAGAAGGCTAGATTATAAAATGAAAGTTGAAAATGTTGTTAAAACCTAATAAATACTAGAAAGGCAAAGAAAAGGTAGGCTTATGCTTTACCTTCTAGGTCTACTTTGAAACGAAATCCCCGTTCGTTTCTAGGTGAGCTTACTTACAAACAAGCACATGAATGACCCATTTTAATATAAGGAAATCCGAAGGGACGAGGCGATCGGTCAGAGCCTTGACGCCGCGCCCGAAGCAGGCGCAGCAGATTTGCTGAGTGCTTCGCTAGACAGACGAACACTGCAAAGGCGCGAATATACAAACAATATTTTGCAATAAATTTAGACCCTACCTTGTTATTCGTCTTGGAGCTGTCTAAATATAGTCGACGGAAAAATCAGTGGTAAGTCAGCATTATTTCTTTGGCTAAAATGTTAAATAATAATTGAAATGATGGATGATGGTTCCTAGAAAACTTCTAATTGTAGACAGTTAGCTCGCTACGCGCATTACGAGACTAGAAGAATGCAACGTACAATCTTAATTGTGTGTGTAAAATGTAGTAAGCTCGACCACACACACACTAGTAGTGTTCACTCCCATGAACGCTATTTAGCAGGTTCTAGCTCACACTCGCGCCGGCCTGCCAGGCCAGGCGGGCCCGTCAGATCAGATGCGCTGTTCTAATGCGCGTGCCGAACCAGTGCATCGGGCAAGCTTTTTTTAGTGTGTGAATTGTAAAAAGGGAATAGGGGCGCTGAAAAACAAAGGCTATTTTTGGATTATTTGGTGAATCGGTGTTACATTATTATGTTGAATTAATTTGTTTTATTAGATTCTCTGTACTCTGTAGGCATATACTAGACTAGAACTCTGAGTCTATCTGACTTTACTTTCCTTTGACATAGTCTAGATCTACTCTTCTTCTCCGAGCTCCCAAAACAAGCTGCTAATCCCGTTAATTTTACTAAGTGGGCGTGGTTTTCAACCTCTTTAATATCTGACATTCGGGGGAGAGGGATGGAGGGGGATCCTCAGATTTGGTTTGGACGGGGGTGTGCCGCTCAAGCCGAAACCACTAGGTCTAGGCCCATCGTTTAGAAATTTTTGTGTGAAAAAGTATGTCATAATATGTGATTAGGCATACCCCCCCCCCCCCCCCCAGGTTGGGAAGCAAGTGACAATTCGGTGAATCTGAGTTATCTGTGTTTCTTAGGCATATAGGGCACATAATTATGCCTACCCATCACGTCCGACTTTTAAGCAATATTAGCTAGACTATTCTCATTAAGCTGATAGTCATATGAATTGTATTGGACGGCAATATAGACTGAGGCCTAACTCGTTTTTTGTCAAAAATGTTCACGATTACTTATATCGAACTGTGTTTGTATTGTTGTTGTTCTTCAGAGAAAGGAGTATGAGGGGGGGGGGGGTGTACAGACATGTAGGCCTAGGCTTGGTTGTATCTAACGATGATGGTTCCTCCTTTCATCAATTCCTCCTTACCCCCCCCCCCCCCCCCCCCCCCGCGGAAGTCAATCTCAATTTTTTCAACATGTACGCCCCTATATGGCTCATTCCTCCACATCAGGGCCGTAGCCAGAGTTTGATGTTAGGGGGGGGGGGAGCACAAACATGTAATTGATCGACATCCTGGGGAGGGGCCTAAACAAGATCAACTGATATTTGGAAATTGGGGGGGGGCACGTGTTCCCCCCCTCCCCCACCCCGTCCGTGACTACGTGCCTGCTCTACACGCCCGCTCTTCTCCCCCTCCTCCTTCTCTCTCCGACTCTCTCTCTCTCTTTCTCCCCTCACCAGAACGCAAACTACCCGTTGCAGTCAAATGAAAATATATTGTTACACTAATTAACTCATTGATGACTTTGCTAACCCATGAATCTCAAACTATACAAGACTGTTTGTACGCCCATGCTTTAATTTATGATTTTTTTTCCCATCATAGAACAATGGCAAACAGAAGAAAGGCGTGGAATCTTCAGGGCATCATGGCAGTAATGCAGGAGTACCTCAGCTGCCACGACGTGTACAAACAAATGAAACGGAATGGTACAACTAAAGGTTTCCACAAAACGGTAGCTGACAAGCTCAGCTACCAGGAGAACGCAACCGAGAACCTCCTGAAGAACTTGGGCAGGGAGTACCGGGATATACTGCAGCACACTATGGTATCTGGTACAGACACCCGAGATCCGGTACTCCGGGGATCAACGGAGCTGTACTTGCTCTTTGAAGAGTACCAGCAGCTGTATTTCCCAGCTGGAGGACAGGTATGCCTATTGTCATTATTTGTTATCATTATTATTTCATTATTTCATTTTTTTTAATTTGTCAAACCATATATTACATGCTGGTAAAAGAGTGTAAAATAATGATGATGTATTTTATCAACAAGGGAGATATCTTTGGAAAAGGCTTTGTACATCTTTATCAGAAATATATAAATATATTGGGCCTACTTATTATAGGTTAGTAATAATGCATTATAAACATGCATGAATGGGAAAATTGCATTGGCAAACTGGGATCTTAAAGTTAAGATTGCAAACCAATGGGAACTTTATTATGCATTCACTAACTGGAAAATGGAAATCATTACAAATTTCGCCTATTTGTTTTTATATAGATCAAACCTCAAGCAGTGATTACAGAAGGAGGCGTGGTCATCCCAGGGGAAGTGATAGTCATCCCAGGTGAAGGTGATGAGGAGGCGACGGGAGCCCCATCCACATCGTCCGCTTCTCCCCCAACAAATCGGAGACAGAAGAGAAAGCGTGACGACGAAGTAATTGTCCTTTTGGGAAGGCTTGTGGACGAGATGACGGCACTTCGGATGATGGTTGGTTCCGCTCTGGGGATCGACGTCCAGTTAGGTGAAACCGAGGACAAGGAACAATAACTATCCACGATGTACATAGGGCGTCAAATCGTTTTGCATTAAATATTATTTGGAAACATTATTTGAATTTCGATAGTTATGCTTAGTGTTGTGTGGATCTATATACAAGTTGTTGTTGATTATGTCAGAACAGAGCGACTTATACATAAAGGAGAAGGTGGGTTTTGGGAGGGTCAGGAAGTGCCACAATCTCATAGAGATATATTTTGATGATACAATGACAAATTACCTATTCAAAAACAGTTCTTTCTTAAACTGCGCGAGGGAGAATTATGGTTCAACGACAACCTGATAACATAACCTTTACATTATGTTTTTGTTTGCTCATCAGTTAATCCAAACTTTCAAAAAATAACATCGATTTGTGTATCTTTGTGAATCGTGGATTTCGAACACTCCCAGAACTAAACATTTCCTTTGCACTTAACAGAAGAAGGCTGAAATGATTCTAATAGTATAACAGAGCAAGTTGAATATTGTCTTTTGAATTTATTAGATATTACTAGATATACAGAATGATATGTATTATTATACACCTGAACGAGCATACAGGTTTCACAATAATAATATTGTGGTCTCCTGCGGCACATACCTGAAATGCAATGCATATTATAGACCCACCCCCCTTCCCCCCTCCCCCCCCCCCCCCACGGAATGGATGTTATGTATGTATATAATTTACATAATTTAAATACATAGAGAGGGAGAGAGAGATAGAGAGAGAGAGAGAGAGAGGGGAGACGAATAAGAACTAAGAGGAGGGGGCGAGTGTAAGCAGGCATGGGAACCGACGCCCCCCCCCCCCCCTAGCCGAAAAAGTTTGAAAAAAGGAAAATCCTGCAACCGCCACTGAGCATAAGAAGTAGAGAGAGAGAGAGAGAGGGAGCGAGAGAGAGAGCGAAGAAGTGACGGCATTCATTGAGATGAACTGACAAAGAAAAGGTACATTTCATTCGCAAATTTTTGTACGGTTTCTTAACTACGAGAATGATAGCTTATAAGTAATTTGTATATCGGTTGTGTAGAACTGCCATGGACACGATGAGTTTTGACGCAAAGATAATCCCTCCTTTAGCTGCGAGCCTGTTCTCTTTCATCTGAGCCATCCGCCACTTGAGCTGTGTCGCCCCGATGGTGCGCTCTATCACTTGTCGAAGTCTTGTTATATCATCGTTGAACTGTTGCTGCTCATCAGTGAGGCCGTGTCCCACGAACCGATGACCAACGTTGCGGTGGAGATTCCTGTAGGCAGGGTCCCCTATCGTTATGTATCCATCCGGGAGGTTGTCCAGAAAGTCCATGAAGGTCCTGCTCCATTCAGTGGCGGTCTTATCATGGGTTGACCCGGGGAGTCCTTAAAAAAGTAAAACAAATGGAGATTAGGTGGTGAATATAAATTATAGAAGCAGTTTAAAATAATTTACGTGGTTTGAGTTATGTTTAATTTGTGTTCAAAATTATGGGATGTTGATTTCTACTTTGGCTTTGCTTAATCTCTATATTATTTTATTACAATCAATTATGGACTGACATGTTTCAGATTAGAAATACATGGTTGAATAACATTCTCCACCTAAATTTGAGTATTAACAGGAAACTTCACAAACGTATAACAAAACTTATAATTGAGTTAGGTTTAGTAGTTAACAATTTGTCATGGATGTACTGAAAGCATAACTTACCTGTAATGATGTGACGAACTTTGCCGAATTGGTCGGTTACATACTGGGTATTGAGAGAGTCGCAAGACTTCCCATGCCTGCCGCAAAAATATGCGTTTCCCGCATGGTCAGGCCGCTGGATCCGCGCGATGTATCCGTCAATGTAGAGGATAACATTCTTTACCTAAAACAATCAATTGAAAATGATATTAGAATACAACAAATCTATACAAAAAATGTATATGCTTGATAAGGAGAAGGGGTGAGAAGGAAGGGAAAAGGGGGAGAGGGAGGTAATGGTTATGATAATGGACACGCAGAAAGAGGTGATATTATTATTTAGAAAAGAACCGATCCAAATTATAAAGCCGGTATCAAAATAATTATGGTAGGGTGCTCTTTTTCCCGCAATGTGCTGATTTATATCATAAAGGTAAATAGGCGCTAGACTTATATGGAAATATATTTTTAAAAAGTAACAATATAGACTAGTACATTCATTTGATTTATCCCACGTCACAAACACACACACACAAACGCAATCTCTTTCTCTCTCTCTCTCTCTCTCTCTCCCTCATTTCTCCATCTATCTTTCTCTTTTACTTGACGATATCACCAAAACTATATAATAGGCTTATAGACGTCATAATGAAGTAGAATATTTGCATAGAATAAACTCACTTCGCCATCGGGATATCGAAGTTCTGACGACAAACGTTGCATTTCGTCATGTTGTGGTAGCTGTATATGGTGCCGTGCAATGTCGAAAAGGAAATCGGCTACAAGATGGGTGTGCCGGAATGCTGCTGATGTTGACAATCCGGCACTTCTCCCAACTTGCCGGTAATACCCACCTCCTGCTAGATAATCCAATAATGTCATTACCATTTGCTCCGATTTCACGATTCCGCGGGGCCCCGCCCCCCTCCACGCATTGAATTCGCTTCCCAGCTCTTCAATCTGCCCTTCGTTAAGGCGCAGATAGCTTTTCGTGGATTCTTCGGTGGAACACGGCTTCCTAATTTTGTTCGGCTGACGCCGAACTTGAGCATTCAACATGATTTCACAGTTCGAAAACGAAAAGCTACACAAGATGATGTTATTGCATGTGATCAGCATGAATATATGCTAGGCTACTCTAATTTAGCAACACTAACACTAACACCGAACTGGAAATCAACATTTGCTTAATCCCTAGGGGTTAGTGTTAGTGAATAGGACATTTGTACGTGCAATACTAACACCAGCCACAAAGGTCGGTTCAGCAGACGACAATTTGGCAAAATCGATAACACCAGCTACCGGAAGTTGACGATATTCAGAGGTCAAAGTCTTAACACCAGCTGATTTCCATTTCGGTGTTAAGGCTGGTGTTAGTGTTTATTAAACACTAACACCAGCCTTAAACACCCAACTTGAAATCACTCATTATAGCTCTTTAGGATGCAAGTTAACCCCACATTTTTTTGCGTGTCAAACTCGTGAGAAATAATCGAGCCAGTTGTAAATAACATCGCGCACCAGCTGCTGGTGACAATGACAATGTATATTACGCGTATAACAAAATGCGAACCATGCACGAACTCTATTGTGATGTCACAATCAGACCCTTGGCACACTGTTTGCAGTGTATCGAAGATTCGTCAAGCACTGGATGCACAGTGCTTGTTTGACGATGTTTTTGCAGCTTCTAATGCTAGGAAATCCTGTGGAGTGTAGGCTACATAATTTATAAGATAGTAATTTATAATTGATAAGATAGTATAAGATAGTAAGAGTTTCTTGTTTGCTCTAGATATCTGATGTGGTTAATAATAGTAATATTTACTGCCTAATTCAGGGCAATACGACTTGCTATATATCATCCTCACCTTAGGTTCGGGCGATATACGTCGTATTGCCCAGAAGGCAGTCAATATTACTTATGCATCATCATGATAATTGCTCAATATTTCGTTCATCAATTTAGTTCAGTTCTTCAGTTCATCCGTTTAGCTCATCAATTCAGTTCATTTTACATCAGTTCAATTTATCAGTTCATCAGTTCATCAGTACTTCATTCATCAATTTATATCTTAATACATCATTTAACATTAACATTATTTCATGGGGTAATTGAATTGAAGATGAGTATGATCATAAGAATTAAAGACAGACCACCTTATTCGTCTTCGTGACGAATTAAATTTCTAGTTAGGTGGTCTGTCAACGACAGATCACCTATTGATTTCGCTAGAATTTTCTTTCTTTCTTTCTTTCTTTCTTTCTTTATTTTTATTTCTTCCGTACACTTTTTTGTGCACACGTTTACTCGAAATCGACAAGGTCAATTTCCTTCAAATTTCTGTCAGTCATCAAGCTCTATGATATCAAGTCTAATTAACTTTTTCAAGGTCATTATGTCATCGTGACGTCATCCAGGCGCCATTTTGTAAAAATCAGGTCATTATCATATCTCGATAACGAGTCATCAAAAATCAACCATATTTGGTATACATCAATTTCGGGTCAAAGGTCAACTAAAAATGTTAACAAATTCCGCGCGCGCACCTTGACGCGCACGTACGCGCGCATCAAAATTTTATAATGCTCCGATTCGTTCCAAATTAATTTTGCATACGTTTCAGGCCATTTTAAGCATTTTCAAAATTTGCGCGCGCGTAATTATGCGCGCGCGTTTCCGCGCGTATCCGCGCGTCCTGGCATTTTGCAACACAGAATTGCCAATTTTTTTCTGTTATCATGTTTATTACATTTTCCCAAGCATTTTGATACCTTGCTTACCTTTTTCCGACCAGTAATAACGCAATTAGCGGCTGTCAAATTTGAACGCACGCGCCAACCTGCGCTATCTGTATCCACAGTACATGGGCAAAAACATGCCTATACAAAATTCATTTTAACTCTTAAGAATGGATAGATACCCCCCAATTTCTTTCATAGTTAAATAGATTATGAGTTGGAGATATGATTTCATGTCTCATTTGACTCTCAATTAACTCATGACGTCATCATAATGGCCTCCGAACTCAAAATTTCAATTTGCATATTATGACGTCAGCAGATTTTTTGAAAAGTGATTGTATATCTGTAAATATTGATCAATTTTCTTTCAAATTGTGATATGTTCTACCTGAGAATATTCTCTACAAATGCAGTAGCAACGATATTTCATTTTGACAATGGTATCATGGCGTATTTTTGCGATAAAAGGAGGCATGTCAATTTTTTACATTTTGCGTGTATTCTCTATGGGACATGACTTTTTCTCAAAACTGGATTCTACATTCTCGTCTTTCGCGAGCAATATCTCCGTCGTTTTATCTTTGTTTACGCTGAGCTTTGAGTATGTTGTAGCTGAGACAATAAGCTATCACAAGTGTGCCCTTTATTTTCGATCAGATGCCGGGATCATGCTCATATTTCACTTGCAAAGTGGGATTTGAGAATTTTATTTTCCGTTTACGTGTAATCGCTATGGGAAATGTTTTGGTATATCGGTAACGCACTTGACTTCCGACCTCGAGGTCCCTGGTTCGAGTCCGGGCGTCTCCAACAATTTTTTTTCTTCACTTTTTTTTCTTTTTGACCTTTCACTGTACCATCTTCTTTGAATATTAAAACACGTACAATCGCAAATAATGTAATAAACAACCATATTTACTTTATTATTACCCTATTATCACTTGATCCATTACTTTTTGCGTGTAATCCTTATGGGAGATGACTTTTTCCCAAAATCTGGATTCTACATTCTTGTCTTTTGCGAGCAATATCGCCGTTATTTTGGCTTGATTTTTGTTGCTTTTTGAGTATGTTGAAGCTGAGACTATATACTATCTAAATGTTCTCTCATTTTTTTCAGTCTGATGTCATCATGGTCTGTTGATGATAATCATCAACATCATCATGATCCTCATCATGATCATCATCGTCATCACATTTACTATCAAGATCATCATCATCATGATCATCATTCTTTACATGTCTATATAACTTCTCCCTTTCTCAATATAGTAAATATTATAATCTATCATAAGACTTGAAAACAGACCACCTTAATCGTCCTCGTGACGATTTAAATTCTAGTTTATTTTTATTTCTTCCGTACACTTTTTTGTGCACAAGTTTACTCGAAATCGACATGGTCAATTTCCTTTGAATTTCTGTCAGTCATCAGGCCCTATAATATCAAGTTCCCGAAACCTTTTTCAAGTTCATGGGGTCATCGTGACGTCATCCAGGCGCCATTTTGTAAAAATTACGTCATTATCATATCTCAATAACGAGTAATAAAAAATGAACCATATTTAGTATACATCAACTTCAGGTCAAAGGTCAACTAAAAATGTCAACAAAATCCGTGCGCGCACCTCGACGCGCACATACGCGCGCATCAAAATTTTAAAATGCTCAAATTCGTTCCAAATTTTTTTGCACACGTTTCAGGCCATTGTAAGATTTTTCAAAATTTGCGCGGGAGCACTTATTTTGTGCGCGTTTCCGCGCGTAACCGCGCGTACTGACATTTTGCAACATAGGAACGCCAAATTTTTCCTACATTTCCTACATTTTTCCAAGCATTTTGATACCTTGTTCACCTTTTTTTTGACCAGTAATAACGCAATTAGCGTCCGTCAAAGCTAAGAGCACGCGCGGATCTGCGCTATCCTTATCCACATTACATGTGCAAAAACAAGCCTATACAAAATTCATTTTAACTCTTCAGAATGGATAGATACCCCCATTTTTTTTTCATATTTAGATAGATTATGAGTCGGAGATATGATTTCATGTCTCATTTGACCCTCAATTAACTCATGACGTCATCATAATGGCCTCCGAACTCAAAATTTCAATTTGCATATTATGACGTCACCATATTTTTGGAAAATTGATTGTATCTCTGTAAATATTGATCAATTTTCATCCAAATTTAGATATGTTTTAGCTGAGACAATTCTCTACAGATCCAGTGCCCACGAATTTTCATTTTGATGAAAGCATCATGGCGTATTTTAATTTAATTGGAATTGTACAAACACTCACATTTTTTAAATTTCTTCCGTACCCTTTTTTGTGCACACGTTTACTCGAAATCGAGAAGGTCAATTTCCTTCGAATTTCTGTCAGTCATCAGGCCCTATGATTTCAAGTTTAATCAACTTTTTCAAGGTCATTAGGTCATCGTGACGTCATCCAGGCGCCATTTTGTAAAAACCAGGTCATTATCATATCTCGATAACGAGTCATCAAAAATCAACCATATTTGGTATACATCAACTTCAGGTCAAAGGTCAACGAAAAATGTCAACAAATTCCGCGCGCGCACCTCGACGCGCACGTACGCGCGCATCAAAATTTTAAAATGCTCTAATTCGTCCCAAATTTTGTTTGCACACGTTTCAGGGCATTTTAAGCATTTCATAAAAATCGCGCAAAACACGCATTTTTGCGAGATTTCGTTCGTAGCGGCCAAACGAAAAATAATTCCCTAACCCGAACTTTTGACAGGATATTCCTTAACTTTTTCCGAACAATTTGGTACCATGTTTATCTTTTCATGACCATTATTGACGGAATTAGCGTCCGTTTAAAATACACGTCCGTACGCGCGATATCTTGTAATACATAGCATATATGGGCAAAAACATGCCTATACAAAATCCATTATAGCTCTTTAGGAAGTCCAAAGAACCTCCAAATTGTTCTCATATTTGGATATAATATGAGTTGGAGATATGATTTTAGGTCTCATTTGGCCATTATATATATCGTGACATCATCATAATGGCCTTGGAACTCAAAAAACGAATTTGCATATTATGACGTCATCA